CCCGCCTCTTCACTGAGTGCTAGTAGGTCCTCTCTCTCCCTGCTCCATGAGCTTTATCATTCCTCATCTTAAAGCTATGTATGGTTCCTGTCTCCACTACCTCACTTGCTAGGCTATTCCACTACCTGACTACTCTATGACTGAAGAAATACTTCCTAACATCCCTTTGACTCATCTGGGTCTTCAACATCCAATTGTGACCCCTTGTTTCTGTGTCCCACCTCTGTCCACCTTGTCTATTCCACGCAGTATTTTGTATGTTATTATCATGTCTCCCCTGGCCCTCCTATCCTCCAGTGTCGTCAGGCCGATTTCCCTTAACCTTTCTTCGTAGGACATTCCCCTTAGCTCTGGAACTAACCTTGTAGCAAACCTTTGCACTTTCTCTAATTTCTTGACGTGCTTGATCAAGTGTGGGTTCCAAACAGGTGCTGCATACTCCAATATGGGCCTGACGTACACGGTGTACAGTGCCTTGAATGATTCCTTAGTAAGGTATCGGTGTGTGTGTGTGTGTGTGTGTGTGTGTAAGAATGTGTGTGTGTGTGTGTGTGTGTGTGTGTGTGTGTGTGTGTGTGTGTGTGTGGAAGAATGTCGTGTATGTGAATGGATGTTAGTGTGTCAATGGATTTAAGTATTTGTGGAGGCTTAATGAACTGGTCTATCAAGTGTAAGGCAACTTACTCAAACGCCTGCGGCTTTTTCTGATATGTTCAAACTGCCCTAACCAGTGTGTGTTGGTGCGTTTACTCACCCAGTTGAAATTGTGGGGTTCGAGGCTAGGCTTCTAGCCCGCTCCAAATATTTCTCCTAAATATAATGGTCCTTAAGATACACAATCATAAAACTGCGAAGGGAATTTTATTCTAACATTTCCTAGTCTGAAGTATTTAATAATAATGTCTTTACTACAAATACATGTACAAGGTATACAGACCATAGCTGACATCAGTGATATATTACTACATAGAAAAGAAAGCCGCTTGTTATGCAGAGAATTTCGGGCAAATAAGGTCAGTTTTGTCCCTGTCTCATCTGTGCATTCATTGTCGAATTTTGCCGACTTGTACCTGATTTCCACCTTCGGGTTTGTCTCGGCCTACTAAGCCCTCCGCGAATTTTGCACGTTGTGATCGTTTTAACTCAGATTCTCCCTCCAGTAACTTAAAGTTTAGCTCCTTCAGTCCATCGTCGTCGGTCATTCCACCTAATTCCAGGAGTTCTCTTGAGTTTCTCTATTTTTTATGCGCATTTTGAGGTCGGCGTTGCTTCATAATGTACAATAAATTTGACGTACGCAACGTATTCGATTTACAACTCTACTCGATTCAGACCCCATGGGGTTCAACCCCCCCTCACCCGTTCTGTGGTCTGCAATCATGTTGTTAGGATTTCGTGAGTTATGAGATACCTGTTTGACGTTCATGGTTAGCTAGACGTTTATAGCCACGGATAAATGTTTCAAGTGATATGTTTTATGTTATTCCTTCAGTTTATTTTTCATGAGGTTTGTTGCATATATTCCCAAATCTTAATTCAGTTTCTGGTCATCTGTTTCCTTCCCGGGTTATAGCATCCTTCCAGTACTGAAAAACTGAAGCCTTTCCTCGATAACTTTGCATCCTCAGCAGAAATAAATATGCAGAACTCTATTTAGCAGTTCTTCTCATTTGTGTAGAGATCAGGAACTGTATCGGTACCGGGACTAAAACATGTCCAGTTCCTGATACCATTACTTTGTGTCATTGACTATCATACCGTGGATAGCTTTGAAAATAGGCAGACTAATATACGAATCAAAAAGGCTGAATGTGAAGAGGACCTTCTTAGCAGTGGGTCTAGCGAGCACCGTCCACCTGTGACAATGTCTTCAGGTGTTGTTCCTCTCCTGTTGTTCCATCATACAAGTCACATGTGATACTTTTCGGTATCATTGTTGCCCAAACTTTTAGATCATAAATAATACCCAGCTCTTTCACTTTATCTTACTCATATACTTGTCGGTGTTTTATACCATTAATGAAATTATTTCAGTATATAAATCTTCATGAAGGCTTTGGACAGGCACCTAATGTCAGTACCTGATCAGCCGGGCTGTGGTTCATACGTCGGTTTAAGTGCAGCCAACAGTAACAGCCTGGTTGATCAGGCCCTGATCCACCATGAGGCCTTGTCACAGACCGGGCCGCGGGGGCGTTGACCCCCGAAACCCTCTCCAGGTATACTCCAGGTATCCTCATGTCTCTTTCCTGTTATCTAGACTATGATAGTGAATGCATTAAAATTATCTCTGCCCTTCCACACACTCCAGTATTAAGTCTCAACTGAAATAGACTGAAACAGTCTGATGTTTAAGTGATAACGTTTCGTCAGTAAATTTACCCAGGTGTTGTTGATGTATGTTGTTAATCAACATGGGCTAGTAGGCGTACTTTAATGTTCATTTCTCACTTTTTACCCCTTAGGGTATTCTTGATTTAGGAAAGTACCTTTTCCGTTAAACCATTTATTGGTCTTTTGTTTCTAGATAAAACTTTTGTGAGACAGTGTCAATCACCCTATTCGTGCCTAAAAATAAACAGGCGACAACAACTTTCTAATTTTTTTTGTCGTTATTACTCTGTTGTAGAACTGCAAGAGGGAATTTACCTACTCTAAATCTAAAATTGCAGTCATAATATTTTCTGGTATAATCATTTGCTGCAGTGTTCTCAATATAAGTATCTCCACTTTAGAGAGTTTACATGTCAAGGGCACCAGCCTCTGGTTGAACGCTGCCTATGTAACCATTTTTTTGAAGTTGCTTTACAGCTTTCTGGAAGGTGTGTGTGTGTGTGTGTATGTGTGTGTGTGTGTGTGTGTGTGTTGTTTGTATTTGTGTGTTTTTGTGTGTGTGTTAGTGTGTGTGTGTGTGTGTCTTTCTGTTTGCCTGCCTGCCTATACTCACCTATATGTGGTTGCAGGGGTCGATTCACTAGTCGCTACTATGTCCACTCTTTCCCGGCTGCAAGAACCTTGTCGTACCTCTCGTTAATGCTATGTATGGATCCTGCGTCTTCCACTTCAGTCTCCAGATTGCTCCACTTCTTGATAACTCTAAGATTGAATAAATACTTTATAACATCTCCCTCATTCAGACGAGCTTAAAACTTCCAATTGTGCCCTCCTGTTCCTATTTCCCATCTCTGAAGCATTTTGTCCATGTTCACCTTGTGAATTCCTTTCAGTCGTTATCATGTCCACCCTATTTCTATCCTACAATGTCATTAGGCTAGTTCTCTTAACCTCTGCTCATAGGGAACTAGTCTTGTTGCAAACTTCTGTACTTTCTCCAAATTCTTGATGTGTTTGACCAGGTGCGGGTTCTAAACTGGTGTTGCGTACTCCAATATGTACCTGAAGTACACGGTGTAAAGTGTTGTGAATGACTCCTTACTTTGATGTAGAAACGCTATTCTTAGAGAAGCCAAACGTGCATTTGCTGGAGCACTTATTTGCTTAATGTGCGTCTCGGGGGATATGCTCGGTATAATACTAACCCCAAGGTCCTCCTTGAGGGAGGTTTGTAGCTTCTGTCCCCCGAAACTGTGCTCCATCTGCAGTCTTTGTCCCTCTCCAAACTTTATAACCTTGCACTTTGTGGGATTAAACTGCCTCGTCAGCCATTTGCGTATACAAGAAACAACACTAGCCATAGGAGTGATTCTTGTGGAACCCCACTCGTCACATGTACCCATTCCGACACCTCGTCAGGAACCATCACTCGTTGTTTCCTTCCTGTCAGATATTCCCTGATCTATCACAGGGCTTTTCCTGTTATTCCAATGTACTCTTGCTTATGCAAGGTCTGGGACCTTGATCAAGGTCCCAGACAGAAACGTTTTTGACTACATATGTTCTAATGTTCGCTCACGTGTCTGTCTCAACGAAGTGATATATATTTACATGAGTATTTGCTAATTTGTAAAATAAATATTATATACTGGAAAGAGCCAATGAAGTACATTACCTGAAGTTGCAAAAACAAAGTAACTATCAGGGCACTGGCATGTGTCTGGGAAATATTAGGAAATATATGACGAGGTGGAAATGAATCTTCTAATGTCAGTTGGTAAATCCTTGATGCAAATGTTTGTTGTTAAGAGTGTTGAGGAGGATCTTGTTGCAAGGAAGAAATGTAATAAACAGCAGAGAGGGAAGACGATCGTTGAGCATATTCTTCAGTCTAAATTAGAGATTCCTCACGATGCGGTCACCGTAAAATTGCGTAGGCTTTTGAGATGTGCACTAGACGTTAGAGATAAACATGAACACAAATAAATAGCAAGCAGACATAGAATAATATGTTAGAATTATAAATTAAAAACAAAGTAACAACTTCTCAACGATACAATGTTTGAATAAACCATACCACGGGAATTGTTAGAACCCGCGGTCAGGGAGTCATAAAACTCCAGACCGACGCGTTAGCCACTGGCCCAGTGGCTAACGCGTCGGTCTGGAGTTTTATGAGTCTGATCGCGGGTTGTAACCCCGCCAGTGGTATGGTTTGTTTGCAGTAGTGTCGTTACGATTTCGTAACCAATGTTTGAATAGTTTGAAGATTTGGAATATGATTCGGAAACACTATGTGAACCAACAAAGATTACAGAAAGCAGCGAATCAGAAAGTGTTGTCTAATTGCTTTTAAAGGGTCACAGTATTCACAGAATTTACTTATATATATATATATATATATATATATATATATATATATATATATATATATATATATTTAGAAATAGATGTACAAACATGAACGCGTATGTAAAGAGGCAACGACAGTGGGTATCCATGTTCCCACAAATACTACATTAATGAAACTAGATCTTCATGGAGTTAATGAACGTGAACCAGCGAAGTTGTGACCTAGAATATACCAAAGGTTATCATGGCATGCAAGCTGAACAGTATATAAAGCGTCGACAAGATTAGAGCATCAGTACTCACCTGGACAGCCACTTGCCAATATCAACCATGGTCAGTCTTTGCTCTTTATATACATATATATATTTAGTCAAATCTTAGTTTTTTTAAAGATTTATTAAATATTTTAGCGAGACTGTATTAAAACACGTTTTGTAATATTAAGTAAATGTTTTCCTCAGAATCTGTTGCTGATTACTCTCAGCGCTGCCCTGCTGCTGGGATCCTCCTGTGTAAATGGCGGCGTGATCTACGGTCGCTCCTACGGTCTTGGCAGCGGGTTAGGTTTGGGAGGTGGTTTGGGAAGCGGTTTTGGAGGCGGTTTTGGAGGCGGTCTTGGAGGCGGTCTTGGAGGCGCTTTTGGAGGCAGCTTAGGAGGCATCGGCTTGGGTCGCAGCATCGGGCATGGTTACGGAATTGGGCTGTGGCCTAGATATGGTTTACGCTATTATGGTCTCGGACTTGGTCACGGAATCAGTCTTGGTCACGGAATCGGTGTTGGTCACGGAATCGGTGTTGGTCACCGAATCGGTCTTGGATCTAGTTTTGGTCTTGGATCTGGTCTCGGTCTTGGGTCTGGTCTCGGTCTTGGATCTGGTTTCGGTCTTAGATCTGGTCTCGGTCTTTATGGGGGTGGACATGGACACGGATTGTATGGCCGCCGCTATGGATACCATGGTTAAGAGTGAAAATTTGTTGCACTGTGAAGTTTCTCGGCACAAATAACAAGAAATGGTTTAGTGGTGCCTATTTGTGATACCTGGAGTTTGCCTGGAGAGAGTTCCAGGGGTCAAAGCCCCCGCGGCCCGGTCTGTGACCAGGCCTAACGATGCTTTTTCCTAATTTATTCAGATAAATAAAACTTTAAAAATTAGTAGTAAGTGTCATTTCCCCAAAATTAAATTTATGTAAAGCCTTGGCGAGATCTAAGCAAAGTTACTCGAAAAGGAAAAAAAAAATTCACCATCACTCATTAGTTCATTGTCTTGCCAGAGTGCAGGCACTACACTTAACACCTCCAGGACTCAAGTCCGGCTAACTGGTTTCACTTCAAAAATGTTACTCTGCTCAAACTCCAACAGTACCTCGTTATAAGTAAAACTTTGCCCTCCACTCCTATCTAAAACGACCACGCACGCGTGCTAGATGTCCAAGCTTCTTGCGTAAAAAAAGCTTATTTACCTCCTCCCTCCAACCTTTCCTAGGGCGCCTCCTACCCCGCCTCCCCTCCATTACAGATTTATACATCTCTAACTCAACTTATTGTCATGCACCCTCTCTAAATGTCTAAACCACCTTAACCCCATCTTAGCAGTCTGAATAACGTTCTTTGTCTCCACAGGCGTTTCAATAAATCACTCATTCTTTTCCCCTCGTCAGCTGTGTGATTCACCTCGTCTTTCATAGACCCATCCGCCGACAAGTCAATCCCCAAATATCTAATGCATTCACTTCCTCCGTACTCCCTCCACCCAGTCTTATATCCAGTCTCTCATTGCCTAAATTGTTTGTTACCCCTATAACCTTGCTCTTTCATTTGTTTACTTTAAATTTCTCCTTTTACATACCCTTCCAAGTATATACACCAATCTTTGCAATCCCGACAGAATGGAACAGTGACAATTCCCACTCGGTATTTTGTTGTGCATATATTAATTCCACACCTCTCACCCAACACATTGCATTCACTTCTTTTATATTGTCATTTATAAATATATTAATTATATTGACATTACTCATCCCTTTCTAAGGCCTACTTTTGCTGGAAAATAATGTCCCTCTCTCTTACGTACTCAAATCTATCCCTCACTGTCCTCATAAAATATCTTCACTGCTTTCAGGAAACTATCACCCAGTCAATATACTTATAATATCTGTCACATTGGTCCTCTATTCATCCTTTCATATGAGTTTTCTAAATACATAAATCCAAAAAGACCTTAATTACATTTTTTTTCCTAAATAACGTTCACCACAATGCAAACACTTGTTAATATGACTCACGAAATCGTAATGACACGATTGCAAACAAACCATACCACGGGCGGGATTGAGACTCTTTGACCGCGGGTTCAATCCCGCCCGTGGTATGACTTTTTTACATATCCTATCCTTTCTAAAACCTCCTCATTTGTCTACTATCCTGGTGTCAGTTTTTCTCTTAATTCTTTCAGTAATACACAAATAACCCACACATAGGAGAGGAGAGCTTAGGACGATGTTTCGGTTGCAAATGGCCCAAGTCGGACCGAAGCGTCGTTGTAAGCTACCCTCTCCTGTGTGCGGGTTATTTGTGTATTGTTCCAGTAACGGTATTTTGCATTTTTGCTATTCTTTCAGTAATTACTCAACCAAGCACTTTATCTGGTGCACTCAACAGGTTTATTTCCCTATATCATTTACACACTACATCATTTACCCTTCCCTTTACGCAAGGAAACTATCTATGTTCTCTGCCAGTCTTTAGGTACCTTCCCCTCTTTCATACACTTATTGAACAAAACTACCTACCACTCCAAAACTGTATCCACACCTGCTTTAAACATATGTTTTGATCCCATCAGTCCCAGCTGTTTTACCCCCTTTCATTATAATCACCGCCTACGTCACCTCATCCACTCTTACAACTGACCCTTCCTCAGTCCTACAAGATGATGTACCTCTTTCCCTTTCCCTGTCTTCATCAACATTTAACGGCATCTCAAAATTATCCCGCCATCTTCTGAACACATCCAGACTCTCGTCTAATAACTCATCTCTTCTGTTTTTAAATGTCAAATCCATTTGTTAACTAGACTCTCTAAATTTATTAATCTCTCTCCCAAACCTTTCCTTATTCTCAGCCAAATTTATAGAAAGAACCTCACAAGTCCTTCATTTGCCCTTTTTTTCTTTCACCACGCTGTACCAAAAAAACTCGCATAAACTAACTTTTTCTCATAATTCCACCAATTACACATATTCCCTCCTGTACTCACTCTTCTATATCCACAAACTTCTGCACGCAAAACACACTGCATTCATAAATCTATCCCATACATATTCAGCTTCCTCATTCCTATACTCTAGTGCAGTGGTTCCCAAACTGGGGGTAAATTACCCCCTGGGGGTAATTTAACCATTTTTGGGGGGTAATGGAGGGGTGACAGAAAAAAAGTTATGAATTCTGAAAATCAAGAAAACAATGCGGTACCCGGTATGAGGATTATTGTTAACTTTGTCTTAGTATATAAAGTTGTAAAGTAAACCTATTATAAGTAAGTAATAAAGTTAAACCAAATAACAATAAACATCAAAAACTAATATACAGTACTAGAAAAGAAATATATAGCTAAGTGTGTGGAAACCCAAAAGTATTTTGACAAGTATGCTTCAGGACAAAAGTCACTCAGTAGCCCAGATCGACCTGTCCAGTACGTGTCACTCACTTCCTGAGGCTGCCTCTATTTCACACTGTCACATCTGTGAGCATCAGCCGAGGTAGACATAAGCTGGTATGAAGCCAAGAATTCCTAAACTAGCTTCAAGTATGCAACTCCATCCATCCCACTGATGTTCTTGACATCTTTGGTAATAGTCATTAGAGATGCACAATGTTCAAATACAATAAATAAAAGAAAATATCTCAAGTGTTTTAATTTAGCCATATATATCAATAATAACAACATTTTGTGAAAGGGGTAACATGCTTTATGTGGCATGTTAAATTGGGTAACAAGCTGAAAAAGTTTGGGAACCACTGCTCTAGTGCATCTCTCCCCCAACAGTTGCTTATGTCTTACAGGAACTGCCTCGTTTAATTTATAAACTTTTATCTCTCACTTGTTGATGCCATTCTCCTTGTACCCTATCTACCTTTTACTCAAACTGAAACTTCAGCTAAATAATGATCTGATATGTAAGCTGCCCCTCTGTAAATATGTACGCGCACACACACACACACACACACACACACACACACACACACACACACACACACACACACACACACACACACACACACACACACACACACACACAGTTTTAAGGCGAGGTTTGATAAAACTCATGGAGCGGGGAGAGAGAGGGCCCAGTAGCAACCGGTGAAGAGGCGGGGCCAGGAGCTAAGACTCGACCCCTGCAACCACAAATAGGCGAGTACAAATAGGTGAGTACACACACACACACACACACACACACACACACACACACACACACAACAACACACATAACAGGAAAGGCACTGCAATGGATCAGAGAATACCTGACAGGGAGGCAACAACGAGTCATATTAAGTGACGAGGTGTCAGAGTGGGCGCCTGTGATAAGCGGGGTTCCACAGGGGTCAGTCCTAATACCAATGCTGCTTTTTTTTATATGTGAATGACATGACGGAAGGGGCAGACTCAGAAGTGGCCCTGTTTGCAGATGATGGGAAGTTAATGAGGAGAATTAAATCGGATGAGGATCAGGAAAGACTACAGAGAGACCTGGACAGGCTACCAGCCTGATCCAGCAACTGGCTCCTTGAATTTAAACCCGCCACATGCAAAGTCATGAAGATCGGGGAAGGGGAAAGACGGCGCAAGACAGAGTATAAGTTAGGTGGCGAAAGATTGCAAACCTCACTCAAGGAAAAGGATCTTGGGGTGAGTATAATACCGAGCACATCTCCTGAGGCGCACATCAACCAGATAACTGCTGCAGCATATGGGCGCCTGGAAAACCTGAGAATAGCGTTCCGATACCTCAGTAAGGAATCGTTCAAGACTCTGTATACCTTGTACGTCAGATCCATATTGGAGTTTACAGCACCAGTTTGAAACCCACACCTGGTCAAGCACGTCAGGAAATTAGAGAAAGTGCGAAGGTTTTCAACTAGACTAGTCTCTGAAGTAAGGGTAATGTCCTACGAAGAAAGGTTGAAGAAAATCTGCCAAGGTGACAAAGGATGCTCCAGAGATGGGACAAAGAAACAAGGGGTAACAATTGGAGGTTGAAGACTCAAGTGAGTGAAAGGGATGTTAGGAAGTATTTCTTCAGTCAGAGAGTGGAATAGTCTGGAAAATAACGTAGTGGAGGCGGGAACCATACATAGGTTTAAGACGAGGTTTGATAAAGTTCGTGACGTAGGGAGAGAGTGACCTAGTAGCGATCAGTGAATAGATGAGGCCAGGAGCTATGAATCGACCCCTGCAACCACAAAAAGTCGAGTACAAATAGGTGAGTAAAAAAAAACAGAGGGGAAAGTTTAATGGATGCTCTAAGCCTTTCGTGAAGCAACCAACACATTTTCAAGAGTTTGCAGTCGTGTAAAGGAATAGACATCAACCTAGGTCCAGTAGGTGTGTCTATGAAAACATCCTTAAAGGGCTGATTTCAACTTCTTTCTCGTATTTCAAGCTTTCAAAAGTTTTGGCTGCGACACCAAAAACCTACAGCTGATATTTAACTGTTCATGGGTTCTTTTGCATGTTATCTCTCCTTTGCCATTATTGTCCATATGAACAAATACATATATGTCGTGCCGATTAAGCTGACTCGTCGAGTTTGCCATATTAGCAGAATGAAAATTTGTTTTTTCTATAAATCAGCGGAAATCAGTATGAACAAAAAGAATAAATGTACACCAGTGATTTTAGGTAATATTGAATTATTTTAAACTGACCTTATACATTAGAATTTAGCTTAAAAAAAAAACGTTAATTTAAAGCATATATTCCATATATGTTTTATTCAAAAACAAAATATATTGACAAAATACATTGACAAAAATACAATAGTGTGTGTTTGTATTACACACACACACACACACACACCACACACACACACACACACACACACACACACACACACGCACACACACGCACACACGCACACGCACACGCACACACACACGCACACACACACGCACACGCACACGCACACACATACACACACACACACACACACACACACACACACGCCACACGACACACACACACACACACACACACACACACGCACACACACACACACACATACACACACACACATACACACACATACACACACATACGCGCGCGCACACACACACACACACACACACACACACACACACACACACACACACACACACACACACACACACCTCTTCGGTCTGTTCCCCACCAACACAGTGAACCTGAAATACGAAACATTCCGCATCAACCGTATGATTGTTATGTAAGAAATGTGCGCACAGCACTCTTTCGACTTCGTATCGTTGGCATTGTATTTCCCACCTCCATAACTCAAATGCTGGGTCTCCAAGAAAAATTTTGTAAGACGGGACAAAACTGCTTTGGGGGCCCCTGGAGACAAGCTGAGGCTTCTTTCAAAATTGAGAAACTGAAGTCCAATAAAACCATTATCCTTACCTATCATTTCTGCCATCCTGATTTGTGAGGATACATTATTAATGGGTGGTTTAAAAAAAAACTTGTGAAGTTTGGACCTAAAGACACAAATATATGTTATATAATGAAACGGTGGCCTTCCTGTGTATAATATAAATGGGAACGATGATCAACAACCAGAATTCAGAATTTTGTTTGACTTTACATTTTGATTTTTCTCTAAATAAACTAAAAATAGCTGAAATTACCCCCCCCCAAAAAAAAATGAAATGCAAAAAATAAAAATAAAACGTCTATAGCTATGGGGCCGATTCAGAGATTCACAGCCGGAAATGTTATTTTACTCATTCTCCGATCTGTCAAATCCCCCCAAAATTACTCGAGTACACTGACCCTGATCTTCGACGCTCACACGTACCTGCTGGATGGTCATGACTCTACCCATTAAAATATCCTTTCTCTTCAGCCTTACTTGGGGAAGCAAAAAAAATTACTCATTACTATAGTTTTTGATATTAAAATAAATATTTCGCCGTAAGTGCCTTAATGAGGAGCGACGAAGTCACTCCTGGTGACAAGGTTTCATTTAAAAATATCCTGAACTGTACATAGAGCCATTATATTTACACTTTGAAATTGGATGACGTGTACCCCGTCTTCAACCCCAAATATACTTAACGTCTTGATTATCCCATTCTTCTCCGTTCTCTCAACATCCCCATACCGTCTTCTATTTTCTAAGTTTGTATACTATTTACACCGCACATTGCTCTCATAAATGCCGTACCGCCTCCAGTCTCCTCTCTGCAAATATTTATTAATTTGTGACATAAATATTATATACTTTAAAGAAACCAACGAAGTAAATTGCCTGAAGGTGCACAAAGAAAGGAAGTATGAGGGCACTGACATGTGTCTGGGAAATAGAATGAAAGGTATAAAGGAAAATATGACGGGATGGAAGTGAGTCTCATGTTAATTAGAGGTCAGTATTTGACGGAAATGTTTGTGAAGTGTGTTAAGAATCTTGTTGCAAGGAAGATATGCAATAAACAGCGGAGAGGGGGATGATCCTTAAACATATTCTTCAGTCTAAATTACAGATTTCTCGCGATGCGGACTCCGTAAAATTGCGTAGGCTTTTGAGATGCGAAGTAAACGTTAGAATTAAATACGGACACATAGGAAAGAGCAAGGAGAGATAGATTAATATGTTAGTATTATGTGTTTGAGTAGTTTAGAAATTTGGAATGTGATTAAGAAACAACATGGGGATCAATTAGGACTATAGAAACAACGAAGCAGAAAGACTTGCCTAATTGCTTTTAAAGGGTTTTACTAAATATAATCCCTACATATACACGTGCGCACAGCACTCTTTCGACTTCGTATCGTTGGCATTGTATTTCCCACCTCCATATATACATACACATGAATGAGCGTGTATGTAAAAATAGGCAAGAGAAGAAGGTATCCAGTGTTCGTACTAATAATACATTAATGAAACTGGAATATGTTCATGGCGTTAATGGACATGAAACAAGAAAGTTGTTACGTAGAACACACCGAAGGTTATCATGGTATGCAGGCTGAACAGTATATAAAGCGTCGACAAGATTAGAGCATCAGTACTCACCTGGACAGCCACTTGACAATATCAACCATGGTCAGTCTTTTCTCTATAATTTTATCTATAATATATATATAATATATTAATTATATATATAATAATATATAATTTTATATATTATATACATTTTATATATATATTATAATGTCGTGCCGAATAGGCAGAACTTGCGATCTTGGCTTAAATAGCAACGCTCATCTTGCCGTATAACAAGCGAAAATTTGTGTATGCAATAATTTCGCCAAAATCATTATAAACCTAACGAAAAAAAATATATTTCACTGCGTTTGTTTAGTATTAAATTATTGTAAACAAATGTAAAATATATTTAGTTGGATTAGGCTAAAATAAATTGTTCTTGTTATAATAAGGTTAGGTAAGTTTTCCAAGATTCTTTTAGTGCAAAATTATAAATTTTTACATTAACATTAATGAAAAAATATATCTTTAAACGTATAAGAGAAAATTTTAGAAAGGACTTAATTTTAAATGAATTCTTGCTAATTGACCAGTTTTACATATTCGGCACGACATTTATATATATATATATGTACCAGACTCATATTGTCTGGTATTGTCCAGCGTCAGGTGTTCCTTTGTTGTGGGAGTTGACTGTGAGGTGTGGTCTAAGCCCTTTTATTGCCTTCCTTTGATGTATTACTTTCATAGTTCCTTGACAATGTGAGTAGTCACGAAAGCGCTTGGAATTTCACTACTGTTTCACAGTGGTTGTTTTGCATATTTTAAAATCACATGTTTACTGTGATCTTATTGCATATATATATATATATATATATATATATATATATATATATATATATATATTATATATATATATATATATATGTGTCGTGCCGAATATGTAAAACTGGTCAATTAGCAAGAACTCATTTAAAAGTAATTCCTTTCTGAAATTTTCTCTTATACGTTTAAAGATATATTTTTTCATTAATGTTAATGTAAAAATCTATAATTTTGCACCAAAACGAACTTAGGAAACTTATCTAAACTTATAACAAGAACAATTTATTTTAGCCTAACCCAACTAAATATATTTTAGATTTGCTTACAATAATTTAATATTAAACAAACACAGTGAAATATAGTTTTTTTCGTTAGGTTCAGAATGATTTTGGCGAAATTATTGCATACACAAATTTTCACTTGTCCTATATGGCAAGATGAACGTTGCTATTTAAGCCAAGATCGCAAGTTCTGCCTATTCGGCACGACATATATATATATATATATATATATATATATATATATATATATATATATATATATATATATATATATCACATGTTGTCAAAGGTTATTTTTATCAGAGAATTACAAAATATCGAGAATGTGTTAAAAGAAGTTTTGTAACATATCTGTTTTCCTCAGAATCTGTTGGTGATCACTCTCAGCGCTGCCCTGCTGCTGGGATCCTCCTGTGTAAATGGCGGCGTGATCTACGGTCGCTCCTACGGTCTTGGCAGCGGGTTAGGTTTGGGAGGCGGTTTTGGAGGCGGTTTCGGAAGCGGTTTAGGAGGCGGTTTCGGAAGCGGTTTAGGAGGCGGTTTCGGAAGCGGTTTAGGAGGCGGTTTCGGAGGCAGTTTTGGAGGCCTCGGTTTACATCATGGCACCGGCTTTGGTCGCGGCATCGGGTTTGGTCACGGAATCGGTGGTCACGGAATCGGTATTGGATCTGGTCTCGGTCTTCATGGTGGTTTACTTGGACATGGATACGGATTGTATGGCCGCCGCTATGGATACTATGGTTAAGAGTGAAAATTTGTTGCAATGTTAAGTTTTCGGCACAAATAACAAGAAATGGTTTAGTGGTGCCAGATTTGTGATGCTTTTCCTAATTTATTCAGATAAATAAAACTTTAAAAATTAGTAGTTAGTGTTATTTCCACAAAATTAAATTTATATAAAGCCTTGGCGATATATATATATATATATATATATATATATATATATATATATATATATATATATATATATATATATATGCAATAAAATGACAGTAAACGGGTGATTTCAGAATATGCAAAACAACCACTGTGAAAAAATAGAGAAATTCCAAGCGCTTTCGTGACTGCTCAGATTATCAAGGAACAATGAAAGTAATGCATCAAAGGAAAGCATATAAAGGGTCTAGCCCACATCTCGCTATCACATCCCACAACAAAGCAACACCTGACGCGTGACTCATAAGAAAGGGAACATTGCAGCAGGCCCGCTGGCCCAACTAGACAGGTCCTTCGCACAACCCACCAACAAATTACTCTACCCATGAATTAAGAATTTTAAAATTTATTATTTGTCCAATGTATTATTAAATTCTTCCCAAATTCTATTAATTATAAATGGATCTAATTTATATAAACCAAAGGAAATATTCATATTATAGTCAAAACTGCTATTTATGAAACAAGATTCAATTATATTCCTATTTTTTCACAGTGGTTGTTTTGCATATATATATATATATGTGCCGAATAGGCAGAACTTGCGATCTTGGCTTAAATAGCAACGCTCATCTTGCAATATAGGACAAGTAAAAATTTGTGAATGCAATAATTTCGCCAAAATCATTCTGAACCTAACGAAAAAAATATATTTGATTGTGTTTGTTTAGTATTAAATTACTGCAAACGTATTTAAAATATATTTAGTTGGGTTAGGCTAAAATAAATTGCTCTTGTTATAATAAGGTTAGGTAAGTTTTCTAAGATTCTTTTGGTGCAAAATTAAAAATTTTTTACATTAACATTAATGAAAAATATATATCTTAAAACGTATAAGAGAAAATTTTAGAAAGGACTTAATTTTAAATGAGTTCTTGCTAATTGACCAGTTTTACATATTCGGCACGACATTATATATATATATATATATATATATATATATATATATATATATATATATATATATATATATATATATATATATATATATATTACATCAAAGGAAGTCATATAAAGGTCTAGACCACAGCTCAATGGTACATAGCTCTATTTTAAAACAAAACATTCTTAATTGCCCTCAGAGATTCTTCAAGTCTTATGATACACTTAATAATAAAAAACATTGGCGCCTTACTAAAGCAGATAAAATAAATGCAATAGTAATTATCAAAGAAAATGATTACCAAGAAAAATGAATAATCTCTTAGATGATGCTGAAACCTATTCTGAACTTAGAAAGAATCCCCTAGAAACCGTTAACAGCAATTTCAATAAAACAAAACTTCTACTGAAAGGCAAAGATGAATTAATTAAACAATTTACTTCCACTAATCCATCTTTACCCTACATGTATGGATTAATAAAAACACATAAACCAGGTAATCCAGTCAGACCAATTATTAGCTCCATAGGATCAGTTTCATATAAATTATCCAATGGCCTGTTGACATTTTGAGCCCTATTGTTGGTAAAATTTCTAACTTTAATGTTAAAAACAACATAGATTTAGTTGATAAATTAAGCTCCTTGACTGACTTAAATGATTTTAACATGGTTAGTTTTGATGTTACTTCCTTGTTTACGAAAGTTCCTGTTGATGATTTATTAAGTTTCTTATCTGAAGAACTTGTTAATTATGATTTACCATTGCCAGTTTCTACATAAGAACATAAGAAACATAAGAAAGGAGGAACACTGCAGGAGGCCTGCTGGCCCATACTAGGCAGGTCCTTTACAATTCATCCCACTCACAAAACATTTACCCAACCCAATTTTCAATGCTACCCAAGAAATAAGCTCTGATGTGAAAGTCCCACTCAAATCCAACCCTTCCCACTCATGTACTTATCCAACCTAGATTTGAAACTACCCAAAGTCCTAGCCTCAATAACCCAACTAGGTAGACTGTTCCACTCATCAACTACCCTATTTCCACACCAATACTTTCCTATGTCCTTTCTAAATCTAAACTTATCTAATTTAAATCCATTACTGCGGGTTCTCTCTTGGAGAGACATCCTCAAGACCTTATTAATATCCCCTTTATTAATACCTATCTTCCACTTATACACTTCGATCAGGTCTCCCCTCTTTCTTCGTCTAACAAGTGAATGTAACTTAAGAGTCTTCAATCTTTCTTCATAAGGAAGATTTCTGATGCTATGTATTAATTTAGTCATCCTACGCTGAATGTTTTCTAACGAATTTATGTCCATTTTGTAATACGGAGACCAGAACTGAGCTGCATAATCAAGGTGAGGCCTTACTAATGATGTATAAAGCTGCAGTATGACCTCTGGACTTCTGTTGCTTACACTTCTTGATATAAATCCCAGTAATCTATTTGCCTTATTACGTACGCTTAGGCATTGCTGTCTTGGTTTAAGGTTGCTGCTCACCATAACCCCCAAGTCCTTTTCGCAATCTGTATGGCTAAGTTCTACATCATTTAATTTATAAGTACTAGGGTTATGGGCACTCCCAATAACTTATTAAACTTTGCATTGTTGATGCAAAATTTGTATTTAATGATAAGTTTTACACTCAAGAGTTTGGTATGGCAATTGGAAATCCTCTCTCACCTGTTCTTAGTAACCTATACATGGAATTTTTTGAAACAAGGTTGCTTAACACAATCCTCCCTAATAGAGCTAAATGGTTCAGATATGTTGATGATATTTTGTGTCTTATGCCCAAGAATGCAGATATACGCCATTTTCTTGTTAAATAGCTTAGCCAATTCCATAAACTTTACTGTTGAGTTTGAGGAAAATAACTCATTGCCTTTTCTAGATGTTTTAATTATTAAGGGTAATAATGAATTAAAATTTAAAATTTACAGAAAACCTACAAATAACTGTTCCTATGTACACTATTATTCTTCACATCAAGATAGAGTTAAACTGTATGATTTATCATCAATGTTTTTGAGAGCTTTGCGTATTTGTAGTCCAGAGTTCATAGATGAGGAAATATCCAAAATTTATGAAATAGCTAATGATCTGAAATGCCCAAGAAACGTAATTGATAAATCTTTTAAAATTGCTAGAAATACTTTTTACAACCCAAAAAGGGACAACCAACCTTATTGAACTAAAAATATGTTGGTTCTCCCTTACCATGAAAGCTTGGTTGATATGCCTACTCTTAAGACTTTTAATATCAAAGTTGTATTTAAAAATCCTGATACAGCAAAAAAACTTTTGATAAAGAATTCCCCCCAAAATGCTGACGGATGTGTGTATAAGATTCCTTGTAAAATTTGCGATAAAGTTTATTACGGTCAAACTGGTAAAAATCTTGAACTAAGATAAAAAACAACATAAATATAGCATTAGAACTGGACAAGATTCCAATGCTCTATTTATTCATATGATAGATTTTTACCATCTAATTGATTTTCAAAAAATCGAGAGAGTTGTATCAAGCAAGTCCATGGTAGACAGGAATATAATTGAATCATGTTTCATAAAAAGTAGGTTTGAAAATGAATATGAATATTTCCTTTTCTTTATATAAATTAGATCCATTTATAATTAATAAAAATTTTGGAAGAATTTAATACATTGCACAAATAATAAATTTTAATTCTTGGGTAGAATATTTTGTAAGTGGGATGTCGTGAAGAACCTGTCTAGTTGGGCAAGTGGGCCTGCTGCAGTGTTCCTCCTTTCTTATGAGTCGCGTGTCGTCGCACGTCAGGTGTTGCTTAGTTGTGGGATGTGATGGTGAGGTGTGGTCTAGACCCTATGTATGCCTTCCTTTGATATATTACTTTTATAGTTCCTTGATAATGTGAGAAGTCACAAAAACGCTTGGAATTTCACTATTCTCTCACAGTGGTTGTTTTGCATATTCTGAAATCACTTGTTTACTTTGATCTTATTGCATATATATATATATATATATATATATATATATATATATATATATATATATATATATAACATTGGCAGCTTCCCATCTAAGCAAGTTACTCGAGAAGGAAGAAAAAATTTCACTATCACTAGTTCACTCTCTTGCCAGAGTCGCGAAGATATTAAAGTTCAGAACCAGAAATATCTCCAACCCTCCTTCAGAGCGCAGGCACTGTACTTAGCACCTCCAGGATTCAAGTCCGGCAAACTGGTTTCACTTCAAAAATGTTACTCTGCTCAAACTCCCACAGTACCTCGTTATAAGTAAACCCTTGCCCTCCACTCCTATCTAAAACGACCACGCATGCGTGCTAGTTGTCCAAGCTTTTGCATAAAGCTCATTTACCTCCAACCATTCTTAGGGTGTCTCCTACCCCGCCTCCCCTACGTTACAGATTTATACAACTCTAACTCAACCTCTTGTGATCCATTCTCTCTAAATGTCCAAATCACCTCAACCCCATCTTACCAGTCTGGATATCGTTGTTTGTCTCCGTAGATGTTTCAATAAATCACTCATTTGTTTTCCCCTCGTCAGCTCTGTGATTCACCTCGTCTTTCATAGACCCATCCGCCGACAAGTCCATCCCCAAATATCTAATGAATTCAGTTCTATACTCCGTCCGCCCAGTCTTATATCGAGTCTCTCATTGCCTAAATTGTTTGTTAACTATATCACCTTACGCTTTCATTTGTTTACTTTTAATTTCCTTCTTTTACATACCATTCCAAATATGTCCACCACCCATTGCAATCTCTCTTTGGAATCTCAAAAAAACATAGTGTCATCGACGAAAAGAAAGCGACAACTCTGTATTTCGTTGTGTATATGTTAATCTCACACCTTTCACCAAACACCCCTGTAGTCACTTTTTTTACAGTGTCATCTATAAATATATTAAATGAACATGGTGATAAACAAATAACCCGCACATAAAAGAGAGAA